CGAGACTCTGGGCGACGGTCGAGGGGAGAGGGGGGAGGAAAGCCGCAGCCAAACGATGCTTCAAGAGGTCGTTGGGGTCGCAGGATCGCGCCGCATCGGCGACGGTGGCGACGCATCGGCGCCGTCGGCGTGAATACAGTCGGGCTCCACATCAGGCCGCATCGCCGACGCATTGGCGATGCCGCGAGATCCCCCGACCCCATCCACGTCGGACCCATCTCAGAGGCCTGGAGCTTCTGCACCACCGCCCGAGCAGCGAAAGCCCAAGCGAGCGGTTTTCGCCAAGAGCAGCAATACAAAGCCCAGAAGCGTCGACCCGCGATCGCCCGCCCAGGCGGCGCGGCCGCGGCGGCGGGTGCGGCCGGTGTGGGCACCCATGCCGCTGACCCCCCGGACCTATCCAAGGATGAGTTCTGACCTGGCACGGCGGCCGTGCTCGAGCGACGGCTCGCGCAGGCCGCCGGCGCGGCCAGCCGCCCCGAGGGCGGAGGCGACTGGCGCGCGGCCTCGCGCGGGCAGCTTGCACGCGAGAGCCCAGGCATACACCCCCGTGTCTCCTCGCCGCTTCACGCTGGATGGGGCTCAACCCAAACAGGTGGTTCCGCTTTCGTCTTGCATTCGCTTTCTCTCGGTAAATCTTCGTTCCGCCTTTGCTGCAAAACGAATTCAAAACGAAAACGGCCCACGAGATCGCTACAGCACCGTTTAGGTCGATCCCTGGTACATAGCGCTGGTACAGACAACCCGTATAGTGAGGACGCACGATATGAGGATGCACGGGCATTGGAAGGCCATGGCGGCACTTTGCGGGCGGGGCGCTGCCAGCGAGAGCGGCCAAGGATGGGCCGAGGGGGAAAGACGCCACGGCAACCTTGGAAAATGGTTCCTTCTTACTATGCGGGCTGACTGTAGCATGGGCATCAGCTAACCGGCTCCGTCCTCGCGGGCGTGGCCTGGGCCCCACCGGCCAAATCTGCGCAGGCTGTTCCCTTCGGGTTTCGAGGGGCATATCCCCAGCTGCGGTGGCAGGATGGTGGGGATGGGAATGGGGATGGGGACGGGGCAGGGCTGGGGGCCAGTGGCACGAGAATGATGCCACGCGCCCCCCCTAGGAGGTGCACGTCCGAGCCGAACACGTAGCGCACGCACATTGTAAGATGGCCCAGCCGGTGTGGCCAAAAACGCGCCAGCCACAGAGCATGCCCTAGAAGAGATGTCTCCGCGCGCGCGGCGCTCGTGGGGTCCCACCCGCTTCAAGGCATAGCATGATATCGCAGCGCGCCGAGTGCGTCGTATCGCCTCGTGGTGTAAGAGCAGCGGGTGGCATCGACCGTCGTAACATGCCATGGCCTAGCATGGCACAGCCGGACATCGAATGACAGGTGTATCACCCCACGGCTTGGCACAGCATAGCACAAATGGCACTGCATCGCCAGGCATCGCATGATACGGGATTCCACCGCGCTCCACGTCGCCAGCATAGCTTAACATGGCCTGGCAGCGCGTAGCCGAGCATAATATCTTATCGTATCGCTGGATTCGCGGAGCACAGCAGTGGCATCGCATGGCACAACACAGCACGACGCTTGAGCGCTGCCAGCGCCGAGGTCCCGACGAGCCGACACGACAACAGCCTCGATCGGGAAGGTCCCCCCAGGAAAATAAGGCCAGTGCCGCCACACCTGGCGACGGTGCGCGCCGACTTCGCATGCAGGCGGGGCCCCCCGCTCATCCACGCGCCTTGATCTATGGTTGCGTCTCCTCGAAGAGAGCAATGGAGCTCAGGGATGTGACCACCCTCCGGCCTCCCACTGGCACGTGCAGACTGTCATCTTTCATGGCCGGCAGCAGGCAGGGCGAACGGCAACACACACAGGCACGGCCTCAACGACGACCACGGCCACATCGCCGCTGCACCGCCGATGCGGCGAGATCCTCCGACCCCATCTCGTCGGACACATTCTGGGAGGCCTGCCCTGAGAATTGACGTTGCGGGAAAATACAACAAGGTGCGTGTGTGTGTGTGTGTTGGTGTGTGTGTGTCTGTGTGTATGTGTGTATGCGTGTGCGCGTGCATGTGTGAGTGTGTGTTTGTGTGTTTGTGTGTGTGTGTGTTTGTGTGCTTGTGTGTGTGTGCGTTTGTGTGTTTGTGTTGTTGTGTGTTTGTGTGTTTGTGTGTTTGTGTGTTTGTGTCGTTGTGTCTTTGTGTCTTTGTGTCGTTGTGTGTTTGTGTGCTTGTGTCTTTGTGTCTTCGTGTTGTTGTGTGCTTGTGTGCCTGTGTGCTTGTGTGCTTGTGTGTTGTGTGTCTGTGTGTTTGTATGTTTGTGTGTTTGTGTGCTCGTGTGTGTGTTTGTGTGTGTATGTTTGTGTGTTCGTGTGTTTGCGTCGTTGTGTCTTTGTGTCTTTGTGTCTTTGTGTGCTTGTGGCTTTGTGTCTTTGCGTCTTTGTGTGCTGTGTGTATATGTTTGTGTGTTCGTGTGTTTGTGCGTTTGTGCGTTTGTGTGCTTGTGTGTCTGTGTGTTTGTGTGCTTGTGTGCTTGTGTGCTTGTGTGCTTGTGTGTTTGTGTGTTTGTGTGTTTGTGTGCTTGTGTGTTTGTGTGTTTGTGTGTGTGTTTGTGTGTGAGTGTGTGAGTGTGTTTGTGTGTGAGTGTGTGAGTGTGTGTGAGTGTGTGATCTTGTGAGTGTGTGAGTGTGTGAGTGTGTGAGTGTGTGAGTGTGTGAGTGTGTGAGTGTGTGAGTGTGTGAGTGTGTGAGTGTGTGAGTGTGTGTGTGAGTGTGTGAGCGTGTGAGTGTGTGAGTGTGTGTGTGAGTGTGTGAGTGTGTGAGTGTGTGTGTGTCTCTGTCTGTCTGTCTGTCTGTCTGTCTGTCTGTCTGTCTCTCTGTCTGTCTGTCTGTCTGTCTGTCTGTCTGTCTGTCTGTCTGTGTGTGTCTGTCTGTCTGTCTGTCTGTCTGCCTGTCTGTCTGTCTGTCTGTCTGTCTGTCTGTCTGTCTGTCTGTGTGCGTGCGTGCGTGTGTGTGTTTGTTTGTTTGTGTGTTTGTGTGTTTGTGTGTGCGTTGTGCGTGTTCGTGTGTTTGTGTGTTTGTGTGTTTGTGTGTTTGTGTCTTTTTGTTTGTTGTGTCTTTGTGTCTTTGTGTGTTTGTGTCTTTGTGTCGTTGTGTCTTTGTGTGGTTGTGTGCTTGTGTGCTTGTGTGTTGTGTGTGTGTTTGTATGTTTGTGTGTTTGTGTGCTTGTGTGCTTGTGTGTTTGTGTGTTTGTGTGTTTGTGTGTTTGTGTGTTTGTGTCGTTGTGTCTTTGTGTCTTTGTGTCGTTGTGTGTTTGTGTGCTTGTGTGTTTGTGTCTGTGTGTCTTTGTGTGCGTTGTGTGTTTGTATGTTTGCGTGTTTGTGTGTTTGTGCGTTTGTGCGTTTGTGTGCTTGTGTGTTTGTGTGTTTGTGTGTTTGTGTGCTTGTGTGTTGTGTGTTTGTGTGTTTGAGTGTTGATGTGTTTGTGTGTTTGTGTGTTTGTGTGTTTGTGTGTTTGTGTGCATTTGTGTGTGAGTGTGTGTGTGAGTGTGTGTGAGTGTGTGTGTGAGGTTGTGAGTGTGTGTGCGTGAGTGTGTGAGTGTGTGAGTGTGTGAGTGTGTGAGTGTGTGAGTGTGTGAGTGTGTGAGTGTGTGAGTGTGGGCGGGCGGGCGTATGTGCGTGCGTGCGTGCGTGCGTGCGTGCGCGCGCATGCGTACGTGCGTGTGTGTGTGTGTGTGTCCTGTGTGTGTGTCCTGTGTCCTGCGCTGTGGGGTACTGCGCAGTAGCTCCGGTACCTCGGCTCCGGTCGAGGCATCAGCAGGGGAAACGACACACAACACAGTGGCCTGGAGTCAAATTGGTACAACCCGTCAACTGCTTCATAGCAAGTAACAAGGGATCTAGAGCCAGGACCAGAGTCAATTTCACAGTGAGGACGATCGACAGGATCTGAAACACGCTAAGAATCATGCATGGACGTGTGAGGTCCTGGCAAGCGTATGTGATATCCGTGAGGCTACCGCCAGCAGAACGCTATGCTGCTGTCTTACGACACAACAGCAGTACTAAATCCATGCACAGCTGAGTGTCCGACAGAAGGAGGAGGAGGAGGAGGTAGAGGAGGAGGAGGAGGAGGAGGAGGAGGACCAGTGTAAACCTAAGACGCATCAGCATTGCTGCAATGGACCATCCTCCATGTTGACTTCATAAAGCCCTACCAGAGTTAGAAATGCCCCATTGGAAAAACAAACGTCTGAGAATCCTCAACCGTGCCAGAACACCGTTCCTGTGACTGCAGCGTCGCGAGTCAACGTGATTCTCGCGTCTGGACAATCCTAAACAGTGCCAGAACGCTATTCCTGAGACTTCAACACCGCGAATCAACATGACTGCTGCGTTCTGACATTCCTTGAAACTTGCCAGAACACCCTTCCTGCTTCGACCAAGCAAATATCTGCAACTGCTGCAAACGTTTAAAGCGAATGAGCGCGGCGCTAAGGCGAGAACGAAATGTTGAAAAAGTGTGCCCTTCATCCGCGAAACTGCTGCAAACTTTTAAGGCGAATGCGCGCGGCGCTAAGGCGAGAGCCCCCTTTTGAAAACCACCCGCCCTCCACCCGTGAAACTGCTGCAACATGTCAAAACGAATGCGCAAGGTGCTGTGGAGAGAAACATAAAAAAAACGCCCTCGACCCGTGACACGACTGCAAAATTTCAAGTCGAATACGCGCGGCCCTCAAGCGAGAACCACTTTTCGCAAACGCCCCGCCCTCCATCCGTGAAACTGTTGCGGATTTCCCGCTTCAGTGTCGTAAAATGGTGAGGACGTCTCAGGCGAAATGCTGGGCCCGCCCTACCGACACGTCTGTGCGACAGGGAGGAGTTACTCATAAGGAAAAGGGATGGAGGAGGAGGAGGACGACGACATCGAAGACGACGGCACCGGCGCGACGACGCCGACGAGGGGGAGGAGCAGCAGGAGGGGAAGGTGGAGGGCGCCTCCTCCAAACATCTGCTGCGCCATCTGCATGGACTGGCGCATCATCTCCTGGGTGGGCCCACCGAGGCGTCCCCGCAGCGGGGGGGGCATCGCTGGCCAGGCAAACCGGGGGCTCCCACGGCCCCGTGTCTCCCCATGGGGTCAGGGGCTCTCCACGGCGCTCGCACGGCGCTGGCTCCCTCGTCCTCGTCCCGATCCCCGCCCCCGCAGTCCTCATCCCTGGTCCCTCGTTGTGCCATTCCTCCGTCCTCCATCGTCCACCCTCCGTTCTCTGTCCCTCACTCTCCACCCTCCAAGCTCCATTCTCGGCCTTCCCCTCCTCGTCCTCCTCCTCCTCCTTCTCTCCTCTTTCGTCACGATTTGCGCAACCATGCGGCCACATAAACAGAAGCAACGACATAAACATAACTCGAGACGTACCCAGCCCCTTCTCCACGCATGGCGAACCTTTGCATGAACGCTCTATACATCAGAAGAACACATCGCCAGATATGCACGATCAGCGCTGCCCTTATCTCCGCCGTGCCTCCCAGGAGCCTATGAAAGTGGCGACAATTGCGAAGTTCGTAGCCTCCCAGGGAACTGCTGGGTCTCGGCTGGATCCGCGTGGCCCCCAACTCCGCTGGACCTCCCAGGAGCCCACGAAAGCGGCGACAGTTGCGCAGCTCGCAGCATCCCAGGGAGCAGCGAGGTCTGAAATGAGTGCGTGGCCCCAAGCCCCGCTGGACCTCCCAGGAGCCCAGTGGCGAAAGTTGCGCAGTTCGCAGCCACCAAGGGAACAGCCAGGTCTCGTCTGGGTGCGTGTGGCCCCCGACTCCGCTGGACCTGCCAGGAGCTCACGAAAGTGAAACAGTTGCACAGTTTGCAGCCACCCAGGGACACGCGAGGTCTCGGATGGGTGCGTACTCCTGTGACTCCGCTGAACCTCCCAGGAGCCCACGAAAGTGCGACAGTTGCGCAGTTCGCAGCACCACAGGGAGATGCAAGGTCCCGGATAGGCGTGCGTACTCCCCCACTCCGCTCAGCCTCCCAGCAGACGACGAAGATGGCGACAATTGCGCAGCTCGCAGCACCCCAGGGAGGTGCGAGGTCCCGGTTGGGCCCGCGTTCTCACACACCCCGCTGAGCCTCCCAGCAGACGACGAAGATGGCAACAGTTGTGCAACTCGCAGCCCCCCAGGGAGATGCGAGGTACTGGATGGGTGTGCGTACTCCCAACTCCGCTGAGCCTCCCAGGAGACGACGAAGGTGGCGACAGTTGAGCAGCTCGCAGCACCCCAGGGAGATGCGAGGTACTGGATGGGTGTGCGTACTCCCCCACTCCGCTGAGCCTCCCAGGAGACGACGAAGATGGCGACAGTTGAGCAGCTCGCAGCACCCCAGGGAGATGCGAGGTACTGGATGGGTGTGCGTACTCCCCTTCCAGGATACGACGAAGATGGCGACAGTTGTGCAGCTCGCAGTCCCCCATGGAGATGCGAGGTCTCGGCTGGGTCCGCGTACTCCCCTACTACGTAGTGCTTCCCAGGAGCCCACGAAAGTGGCGATAATTGCACAGTTCGAATGCCCCCCAGGGAGATGCGAGGTCCCGGCTGGATCCTCGTACTCCCCTACTCCGCCGTGCCTCCCAGAAGCCCACGAAAGCGGCGACGTCGTGCTGATGATGATGCCGATGAGAATGATGATTACGGTGAAAACAAGGAGAAGGAGGAGAAGGCGGAGGAGGATGCTGATGCTGCTTGCGATGATGATGAGACTGATGATGATGATGATGATGATGATGATGATGATGATGATGATGGTGATGCTGATGATGGTGGTTGTGATGCTGATAATGATGATACTAAGGATGATGCTGATGGTGACGATGATGATGATGACGATACTACTGATGGTGATGCTGATTATGATGGTGATGATGATAGTGATGATGCTGATGATGATGCTACTGATGATGATGATAATGATGATGATGATGATGATGATGATGATGATGATGATGATGATGACGGTGATGGTGGTAACGCCAATGAAGATGCTGGTCAGGCGGATGACGATGATGCTGATGAGGACGATGCTGATGGTGGTGATGATAACGATAATAGTGATGGTGATGGCTGTCGTGAAAGTGATGGTAATTGTGATGGGGTGAAGATGAAGATGGCGATGAAGATCAAAATGAAGATGAAGATGGTGATGGTGATGGGTTGGTGATGATGGTGATGATGATGCTGATGATGATGTTCGTGATGATGTTGGTGATGATGATGAGGATGATGATATGTGGTGATGGTGATGCTGATGCTGATGATGATGGTGATGACGCTGATGCCGATGATGTTGGTGATGCTGATGATGGTGATGATGACGATGATGGGACTAGTGGTGATCATGATGCTAATGATTATATTGGTGATGGTGGTGATGGTGGTGGTGATGATGGTGATGCTGCTGCTGCTGATGATGATGATGATGACGATACGATGACAAGGTCGAGGAGGAGGAATGAGGAGGGGGAAGAGGAGAGATGACGCGGGGCGCTGCTGAGTCAAAACCAGGAGAAAAAACATTGGATAGTTGCGAACAAACATATCGTCCTCCTCGTCCCTAGGCGCGCCGCCGATTTCATCCTGCTCGGGACAGGGCCCAAATCGCTTAAAATGGGTTCTCGGAGCCCGCGCGGAGTCCAAACGCACCAGTATTTCGAGCTGTGTCCAACTGTGGCGACGAGGAGGGCCACGGAAGGCCAAACGAGCCCCGAACCCGATCGTCGAGGCTCGAGATTGGACCCAGAGCCCCTCGGCGCGCCGCCGACTTCATCCTCCTCCTCCTCGCCCAGGACTCGGAGGCCCCGCTCTACGTAGTCCTCACCCCCCTCTCGGCCGCCCCGATGGGCCTGCGCTCGGCCGCCGCTGGACGGGGAGTCCCCGCTGGGCGGCCTGGAAAACCACCGCCCTCGCCGCCCTACCGGGGGGCATCGAAGTTCGACAGTTCGAGATTCGAAGGTTCGACGCTCGAAGTTCGAGAGTTTAAGGTTTCCTGGCGTTTTCGTTGGTCCTCGGCAGCCTTCCAGCCTCGCGATGCTCTCCAGCGGCTGCGCCTCGCCAACAGCGTTCCAGAGGTACACGGATCGTCCCAAACGGCCGTCTGAGAGCAGAGATATGATCCGAAAACCGACTGGTATTGAGAGGGGGGGACCAGCCCAGGGGGGAGACACAGACCTTGAATCGTCGATCCAATCGCCGATAGATTGGCAATCGGCACCCGATAGCGGATCCGCACGTAGCTGGGCGGGGTGGGTCCATCGGGCCCCTAGCGGCTATGTGTGGGCGACTTGGGGTCGATGCCCCCCCCCCCCCTGGAGCCTATCCCTCCTTAACGTTTCCCCCGACCTTCGGTCAGGAACTGCTGCTCGGCGTGTCGCGGCGGCGGCCCCAGCGACACACCCTGCCCTGAAGCGGGCAGCGTGTCGCTGCGCTCCGCGGGGCGGGGGTGGTGGGACGAGCTCGGAACGTTGGTGCCCGGGTGCCTGGAATGTGGCTGGCATGTGGCGCCGAGGCGAGGCGGGCCTGAAGCATCGAAACCATACCTCTCTGCCGCTGGGAAAGCTGCTGGAGAGGACGATCACATGATCCCGATGACGGCCACGACTCCCACGAGCAGGCCGGGAACCCACTATATTCGTCATCGCCGAGGGCAGCTGCAGCGTGAGGGCCTCCCCTGGCGTGTCTTCAAAGGCCATTTCACGGCATCCCCTCCGACCTCCTCCTCTCGCGCGTTGCCAGAGGTGGTCCTGGCCCCAGGCGGCCCGAGGCCTTTCAGGAGGGGCACACAGGCCTCCCGAGCACCCCAGCACGCGGCCCTCGGGCGACCCAACGTGGGTCGGGAGGCTGAGGGCTGAGGCCAGCTCGGGCCAGGGCCGCCGCCGTCGACGTCCCCCGGCATCCGACGCCGTGCTTCTGCTCGCAGCGGGGACCCCCAAGAGGTCCAAGCTGGGCCCCTTTCCCGGGGTCCGGCTCTTCAGCTTGAGCCGTCTTGTTTCCTCTGCGGGAGGAGGAGGGCGCGCGACCACCAGGGTTCGACACCTCGCCGAATCATGTAAAACCACAGTGCGAGGCTGAGTCGCCAGGCAAACCCAGAACTCCGCACAAGCCGACCCGCAAGAGGCAAACTCATGCAGTGAACCTTTGCCTGGAAGAGACCTCGCTTTGAGCTGTTCTGTTGACGGTCCCGGGGCCTGGCAGGGGCCCCAAGAGGCATTGTCAAAAACACTCCGTCGTGATGTCCGTCCACGAAGCGAGGATGTGTGGAGGCATCGCTCATCGCGTCCGAGTTAGGGTCGGGGGATCGCGCCGCATCGCCGATATCTCGCCGATGCATCCGCGATGCATTGGCGACGCCGGCGATGTGTCGGCGACGTCGGCGTGGAAAAAGTCGGGCTCCACATCGAGCCGCATAGCCAATGAATGGGCGATGCGGCTCGATCATCCGACCCCATCCATGTGCGCGGCCCCAAGTTGGCGAGCCTGGAGTGTCAGGGCCCTGTCCGCCATCCACTCTGGGGATAGACGGAACAAAAAGCTGAATCAACAAAAACTGTCGGAGGTCTGCGCGGAGCTCTTGGATCTGCGCGGGGACCCCATCCCTGGCGCGCAGAGCGGGCCAGGGGCGGCGCCGGAGGCGCCACCAGGGGGGCCCAGGCGCCGACTCAAGAAATCCGCGCGGAGCCGCGACAGTGCATGTTTAGGGAGCCCACAAAGGACGTACGCGCCCAGCTATGTACATGAACACGGCCCCTCGATTCGCGAGACCAGCCGCGTTATACGAACATTTGTGCAATGCGTGCTCTCGAAACCAGCATGGATTCATGTACATGTACGTCCTTCTTTCGCTCCTGAATGTTCCCTGAAATCCTGGAGCCCTAGACCCATTTTTGTTTCTGCGCCGTGTTTCGAGCCGGATCGACCCGCGAGATTCCTGGGGCCCGACCCCGGGCGAAAAAACGCCTGGCTCGGAGAAAAGGAAACGCCAGGATCTCAGGGTTGGCAGCGAGCGAGGGGGGAAGTGAGCAGGGGCGGGCCTCCTCAAAGGCTCGGAAGTCCCCTGGTCTTCGGAAAAGCTTCCGGAGCCTCCCCCGAAGACTCCGAAGACTTGTCAGAAGGCGCGAGGGCTTCTGCGAGAAGTCCCGCCGCCTTCCGAGAAGGCCTTCGCCTTGCTCATTTCCCGCCCTCGCCCGCCGCCGAGTTTTGGTTAACGGGCGAAGAACGGTATAAAACATATTTTTTCGCTGTCAGGGGCGCCTGTCCCAGGGCGGCTGCAAAGTTTATACCCTTACGGTGGCAACGTAGGGGTATAAACTTTCCAGCCGCCCAGGGACAGGCGCCCCCGACAGCGAAAAAGTTTATCTTATACCGTTCTTCGCTCGCTGATTTGGATTCTTCGATGCCCCCTGTCCGGGTTGGCCATCATCTGCTGCATCATGCTGCCCATGGGGTTTGCTGCCGCGCCTCCCCCAGGGGCGGCTGGCGGCGCGAACGGCGCCGCCGCGAGCGGTGCCGCCGCCGGCGCGGGCGCTGCGGCGGGCGCCGGCGCGGGCGCCTGGGCGGGAGAGGAGCGAACGTCCCCTGGGATCCTGGCGTCTCGTTGCCAGCAATCCTGCGGTGTGGGGTCCTCGTTTTGAAGAGACAGCGCCCCGCGTCTTCCTCCCTCCCTCCTCCTCCTCCTCCTCCTCCTCCTCCTCCTCCTCCTCCTCCAACTCCTCCTCCTCCTCCTCCTCCTCCTCCTCCTCCCTCCTCCTCCTCCTCCTCCTCCTCCCTCCTCCTCCTCCTCCTCCTCCTCCTCCTCCTCCTCCTCCTCCTCCTCCTCCTCCTCCTCCTCCTCCTCCTCCTCCTCCCCCCTCCTCCTCCTCCTCCCTCCTCCTCCTCCTCCTCCTCCTCCTCCTCCTCCTCCTCCTCCTCCTCCTCCTCCTCCTCCTCCTCCTCCTCCTCCTCCTCCTCTTCCCCTCCCTCCCCCTCTCATCTCTGCCTTTGCATTCCACCTGTCGACCAGTTCGGCACATCCCTCACACGCTTCGTGACCCCATGGGGAGCTCCACCGAAGGCCCCAACGGCGACGGTCGCGTCCGCCCTGCCCAGCACATCGTCTCGTGACCCATGGGGGCGGGAGAGGAGCGAACGCCTCTCGAGACCCCGACGTCTCATTTTTTTCCGAGCCGGGCGGTGTCGCCCAGCTTCGGGCCCCGGAACCCTCCCAGATTAATTGTCGGGCTCGAACAAGCTGCTCCGAAAAATTGTGTCTGGGGCTCCGGCTGTTTTGGACGATGCTTGAATGTTTCCCGCGCCGTCAGATCTCAGGGTCTGCAGCAGTGCCGATCACGTGGATGCCGCCGCTGCGGATCTCATCCGACCGAGGGGGCCCTTGCGGTCGTACTCCCTTTCTGCGCGCGCGTGGCTGGCTGGAGGGCCCGGCCTCACTTCTTGGGGCGCGGGGGCTGCACTTCTTGGGGCGCGGGGGCTGCACTTCGGGAGCCGCACGCCCTGGGGGGGCTACACTTTGGGGGTCACACCTTGGGGGGGGCTCCGACCGCGCCGCCACCCCGCCACTCTTATCCGCAAGCGCGGGGTGCTGACGCAGTGCTCCACGAGGCGCAACCCCAAGGCCGCGCGCACATCAGTCCACGCGGCGAATCAGATCACACCGCCACTGTTGGGCCTCGCGCAATGGGGGGGGGCGTGAAGTGGGGGGGGCCAGCGAGGGCTGCAGAAAAAGGGCCCTTGAGGGCCTCTGAAAGCCTAAAGGGGCCCTGTAGGGCCCCAAAGGGGGCCTCCAGGGCCCGAACAGTGTACCCTTCTCCCCCCCCGTTGATCCCCCCCCCCCCCCCTCATTGAGCGTTGCCCAACACTGAGATCGTGAGGCGGAAGCGGGGGAAGGAGGGGGAAGAGGAGCTATCACGTCACAGCTGCTGGGATACGAGCACTGACCAACCAGTACAGTATAGGTGGGCCCGTGTAGCCCGCGCACGGGAACCGAGGCGCAGGAGAACGAATTGTGGGGCATCATGTGGCCCAGACGGCCAAATCTAAAAATACGGCAAATCAAGAGATGCGTAAAACCACAGGGAGAAGGACGAGGAGAGGGGAGTCGAGCGAGAAATGGCGGGACAGGCTGGCGGAAACGGTTGTCCCACGAGTGTCGCCGATAGTCCTAGATCCCAGATGCCGCTGGTGGGTGCACAAACGGAGCGCACATCTCGAGATCGCCAGCATTGATGCACCGAGATGGGAGAAGATTACGGCGTCGCACCCTGCAATGTGAACATCAGAAATACCATGAGGTCGAAGGGACTCCCGCAGCAGACGCCGTAGGACGCACCGCGAGTGCAGTGCGACCCATGGACACGACTTTGAGAATCATGCCACAAGTGCCCGCTAGGTGGCCGCCGCGCCTCTGAGCACAGACGGCCGCTCAGCAATGCAACAATGCGCGCCTGGCGCTGAACTTGAGCCACGATGGCTACTGCTGAAGGGAGGGAGAAGCCCGGAGGAGGGGCGAGGGAGTGGGACGAGAAAGGGCTGGGGAGGGAGCGGGGGGGAGGATTTGCTGTCCCAGAAGACCTCACCGCACGGTCCGTCACCACATGGTTTTGGGACCCTGGAGGCCCCAATCGCCAGAGACATCCTCGGAGAACGACCCAAGCCCCAAAACCGTGCGGTCGCACCGAATCTCCACTGACTCACCACAAGGGGTGGTCACCGCACTGTTTGTGGGGCCTCCGTCGGGAGGGCGGAGGGCGGGGGAGGAGGGACGTGATCGCCGTCCTCGCATGCTTGACCAAGAGGAAAGCGCAGGGCCGACGGGAGGCCGGACAGAGCAGGGGGCCACCTGCGAAGCCTGCCCTTGCCCCCCACGATCTCTGACGGGGAGGGTCGGGTTCGACTCGTGGGGGGTAGGGGGAGGGAGGGGGGAGGAGAAGGTAGGGAGGAGGGAGGGGAGAGGAGGGAGGAGAAGGGAGGAGGAGGAGGGGGGAGGAGAAGGAGAAGGAGGAGGAGGAGGAGGAGGAGGCCCCTGTAGCGAAGAGAGCAGAGGGCCAGGTTTGCGGAGGGCCAGGCGCCGGCGCGGGCGCCCCGCCGCCCCAGGCGTTCGGGAGGGCCGCGGTGTTGGGCGCCCCCTGCGCTTGCTGCGTGTACTCCGGAATGTTGAGAGCGGCCCCATTGGCCCCGGAGCCTTGCGCAAGGGCCCCCCGCCCACCCTCCAGCAATGACGATATCATGAAATGGTGCTCGTCTGCTCGTGCATATACACATTCATATATATATATATATATATATATATATGTATATACACACCCAGAAGGCCGCGCTGCGGGTGGCGAGGAAGTTGCGGGGTGGGGCTTGACGTTCAGCGGATGGCACTCGCAGGCAACAGGACGAGCATCGGGACAAGCATCGGGACAATGATCGGGAAAACCGCGCCCACATAAGCTGATCGCTCGAAGAACTGCACAACAATAAAGGCGCGGTTACGCACACCGTGCATACAATGAGAGCGTTCGAGCAACATCAAACCAAATAACATTAATCATGCGAGACATCTGCCTTTGATGCATGGGATGCGTGTTGCACCATGGGATGCCCAGAACAGAGACATGGGAAACCATTGGCAAATACTATAGTTTATCCCTTCAGGTAAGCCCTACGCCAACACCGACAACGAAGGCACTCTAACAAACTACAATTAAGTCGGGCTTGTCCCCCTACAGGGGGATTTTGAACGAAAAATGAAAAATTGTCAAACAATGCACCAAAATGGTCAAAAAATGCTCAAACAATAGTCCCCCGACTATTTTTGACTATTTCGGAATACTCCGACTGTAGAGGGACAGGCTGGACAACAAAAAAACAACCACAGCCTTGGAATTGCATACTCGAGACGCTCCAAGGAAGTCAATCCATTGGCGGCGAGGCGTCGTTGTGCGCTCCCAAATACAAGCTGCACAGAAAGTGAAGCGCGTCGGCGCATGGTGTCGCAACCACAACGAAGATGTTCGAGCGGGCACGAGCGACAAACGCTCGATGCGGAAATCCCCCCGATGTACATATATAACATGTCGTGACACTACAGTCGGGGCCCTGAAGAAGGAACCCTTTTGGTTGGGGAGGGGCTCCGCGTTCCTTAAATGTTTCACAGCTTGCCTCAGGTTTTCCTTATGCTTTCGATGGGGAATCGAAGCTTAACTTATGGAACAAGGGGCCTCGTTCCTTGTTTAGGGTTCCTTAGGTCAACGCCCCGACTATACCCACTGATCCTGAGAGAGTCCTAGCATGCTCCACAGGAGCGACTGACTGTGTGAGACTCCTGGCCTGCCACGTAGCTGTGACCCTGCGGCCCTGCACGAAGAGGCATCGGCAGGGCGCAGCGAGCGCCTCCCTCTCAAAGCCCACAGCCTGCCCCGAGCCGGGGGCATCGGCGCCGCGAAACACGAGCGCCTCGCTCGAGGCATCCCCGCCATGTGGCCGCGGACGGGCGCGTGGCATACCCCATGCCCCCCCCCCCCGTTGGGGTGCCAAAGCAATCGCCTCGACCGAGACGTCCGCACGGTCTGCGCACCGTCTGCTCGGAGCGCCGATGCGCCGGGGCCACGGGGCATCCCCCGCAGGGCGCTGCGGCGCGCGGGGCCGAAAGCCACGGGATCACGCCCGCCTCACCCGTGTGCTCGCCAGAGTCCCCGATTCCCCCCTTGTGCAGTCCTCGCGTGGAGGGGCAGCGGTTCGCGGAGGAGGAGAGGAGGGGGGGAGAGGGAGGGTGTGTGTTCAACTGGTGCGCGCCTCGGGTGCGGGCGCCCTGGAGCGCCAGGGGTGGGGGGCACTTCACTTTCTCCTCCTCCCCCTCCCCATTCCCCTCCCCCGTCCTCAGCCGTTCTCCCCCCTCCGCACCCGACCTTCTTCCCACTGAAACTCCCCTCCGTCCCCCACCTTCTAGCCTCTCCCGTCCTCGCAGCTCCTGCTCCCGCTCGTGATCCTGATCAGGATGATGGTGATGATGATGGTGATGATGACGATGATGATGATGGTGATGATGATGGTGATGATGGTGAGGCTGGTGGTGATGGTAATGGTGATGGTGATTGTGATGGTGATGATGATGGTGGTGATGATGATGTTGATGATGATGATGATGCTGATGATGATGATGATGATGATGATGATGATGATGATGATGATGATGATGATGATGATGATGATGATGATGACAGTGGTGATGATGAGAATGATGATGTTAATGATGGTGATGATGATGATGGTGATGATGATGATGCTGATGATGATGCTGATGATGATTGGTGATTGGTGATTGACGATGGATGGTGATGGTGATGACGACCAGGTTGCAAGTGAACGGGGATGGCGGTGATGATACTCGGGAGGAGGAGCAGAACGACGAACGCTGCGCGGGCGAGGTGGCTCCTCTGGGTCCCTCCGCGGAGGGATGCGCACATCCTGCTACTTGTGAACCGTTATGTTTGCGCTCCAGCTGCTTTAATCAACCAAAAGTTCCTGACCGTCTGCTCACCCCCACCACTCGCGTCCGATCGTTCGACCCCCCCCCCACACGTTCCTCCATCTCCTGCTTTGTGCTCTTCTGCGTACTCATGTCCGCCCTCCTCGCCCGCATCCTCCTCACGCCTCCTTTCCCTCCTCCTCCTCCTCCTCCTCCTACTCCTCCTCCTCCTCCTCCTCTCCTCCTCCTCCACCTCCTCCTCCTCCTCCTCCTCCTCTCCTCCTCCTCTCTCCTCCTCCTCCTCCTCCTCCTCCTCCTTCTCCTCCTCCTCCTCCTCCTCCTCCTCCTCCTCCTCCTCTATCTCCTCCTCACCCTCCTCAGCAGCAGCATCACCGTCACCATCACCATCATCACCATCACCATTGTCCTCTCCTCCTCAAGTGCTCTTAGAAGTATGTTGCTCCCAACACACTTAAGGACCACATCCCGAAAATAATTTCGAGCACCCAGAAGAGTGTCGAAAGAGCGTGGAAACAGTGTCGGGCGAGTGTCTACCAGGGCCCGACACGTGAAAGCCCATGGCGCTCAAAGTTCCTTCTGATGATCAAGGCTAAGAGTAGGTTGGAACATCATCATCTTAGAACCAGAAGAGGTTCTGATACGAAAACAATGCTCTTAGAACAGAGAAGAGAAAGCCGATGTCTTAAAACAAGACAGTGACAGCCAGAAGGGTTCTCAGACTATTTCGCGTAAGCCACAAATAATCCATATATATATATATATATAGATATACACGATTATTTGGTGGGCCTATAGGCGAAACCGGACGCTTCGCCACTGCTTGACCCTGAACCGATCCCCCCCGAACGTTACCCCTGTTAGGGGGTGGGCGACCGCCTGGGACAGGCGAGCGGAGGATCGCGGGCGGCGAGCATACCCGTGGCACGCTCCCGCAGACACGCGGTCGCACGGATGCGTTCCGCGCGGGACGAGGATCAAATTGGGTGATGATAAATTGAGAATCTCTGGGATGCGGCGGCACTTGAGGATGTCTCGGGCGGCGCGGCCTTCTCAAAGTTCCGGGACGCTCTGAGAGCGTTCCGGAAAGCTCTAGATTGGATCCACCCTCGTCCTGGCCCCGTCCGACAAGGCCCCGGATCTGCGGGGGCGCGGCCCAAAGGCCCGGCCCACGAGGCTGCGGATACGGAAATGTGTTGCATCATCGGGGGACCTTGTCTGTCCCGTCGCGGCCCTATCCGCGTCGAATCCGTGTCGAACCCATGTCGGCCTCGTCGGATCCGTGCCGAATCCCTGTCGAATCCGCGTCGAATCCGCGCCAAATCTGCGTCGAGGCCGCACCGAGCCCGCGGTCGGGCACGAGAAAAGAGACCAATTTGGGGGGACAGGCGAGGCCCCCCGAAGGTGCAAGGTAAACGGAGCTGTGCTTCGCCCACACACGGGGAAGAGCCCGAGAGCGCGTCCATCAGCGGGTTCACCACGTCCTCGTGCGCCCGCATCAGGGCCTGCTGGCCGCCCGGCATGACGTCCAGCCGGCCCATGGAGAGGTCGGCGTTGCGCTGGGCCTGCCGCCGCCGGGGGCCACGGGCCCAGGCCTCCGACAGCCAGGAGCGACGAGGCAGGACAGCCAGGGGGTTGCCAGAAGGTGCCCCTGGCACAGGGCGCCCCCGGCTCTTCGCTCCACCCGGGAGCCCCCTGGGCCCCCTGGGCCCCGCGAGGGGTACTCTGCAGGCCGCGGGGGGGGCCTGCGAGAACGCGGCCAAGGGCGAGCCGAAGGGGGAGGACGCAGAGGGGCAGTCTCTGGCCATCGCTCGGACGTCCCTTCCCTGTGCTTTTTTCTCGGCTTCGTGCGTGGCTTTTTCGCCAAGTGATCGAGGATGCTCCTCGATGGCCCTCGCCGAAGGAAAAATGCACACGTCCGAGCGATGCCAAGACGAGACTTGGCCATCGCTCGGATGTCCCTTCCCTGTGCTTTTCTCGGTTTCGTGCGTGGCTTGTTCGCCAAGTGATCGAGGATGCTCCTCGATGGTCCTCGCCGAAGGAAAAATGCACACGTCCGAGCGATACCAAGACGAGACTTGGCCATCGCTCGGATGTCCCTTCCCTGTGCTTTTCTCGGTTTCGTGCGTGGCTGTTTCGCCAAGTGATCGAGGATGCTCCTCGATGGTCCTCGCCGAAGGAAAAATGCACACGTCCGAGCGATGCCAAGACGAGACAAGGCGGGTCTTACGCAAGATGGCATGGCGACCTTACGCGGTGGCTGACGCGGGCCGCCAGCGCAGCTCGCTACATTGGGAACGAGGGCGCTCACGCGAGCACTTATGCGCGGGCAGCTTACGCGCCAACGTCGGTGAAGATGACCCCCAATGTTTGCGTCGCTTCCATGATCTGTTTCTCAGTCTGGGCATTTATCCTTGATTTCGAGCATGCCCAGGGCCAATGTCGCGATAATTCTGCATTTTTCGCGCGCGCGCCCACGGCGAACAGGAAATTCCTAACAGGCCGACCCGAAGTGAAACCAGAGGTTAGAATTAGGCGCACGCAGCTCGGGGGAAAACAGGGAGAGAAAGAGAGAGAGAGAGAGAAAGAACAGAGAAGAGGAACGAAGAAGAGAATGACAAACAAAAGTTCCCAACCCAGTTCCTGCTGCGGCTTTCGGTCACGCCACTGCCGCTGGAGAGGAAGGGAGGCGGGGAGGCTCCCTCCTCCTCCTCCTCCTTCCCCCCCCTCCTTCTCCCTCCCGCCAGGGCTCGGGCTAAGCAGTGTCCACCCTGCGAAATGCTTAAGAAATCATGGGTTCAGAAATTCATAGTCTCAGAACTTGAATTTAAACCCAACATTTCTATTAAAATCTTAGGATTTACATTGAAACATTAAGAATAATCGAGACTCTGGCCGAACATTTAAGTTTTCTTAAGCATCGCCTAAGGTGTATGTTCGTGTTCGTTCTGTTCAGCTCGAGCCCTGCCTCCCGCCGCCCGACGCTGTGCAGCGATCCCTGATCCGCGGCGCGCGCCGCTCGGCGCCCTGGGGGGGGGGGGGGGGCGGCCGCCGCGGGCGACGCGGGTCCCACCAGTGGCTGCCGGCAGGGTGTGTTTTCTTTTGCGAAGAGGGGGAAGGTGTGGATGTGAGCCTTCTTCATCCTTTGCCTCCTCCCCCTCCGTCGCCTCTTCTTCCTCCTGCTCCTCCAACTCCTCCTCCTCCTCCTCCTCCTCCTCCTCCTCCTCCTCCTCCTCCTCCTCCTCCTCCTCCTCCTCCTCCTCCTCCTCCTGCCCCTCCTCCGCATTTGGGCTGCTATACGCGGAACTGGACCTTTCGATAGGACCGCAGAAGCTTCAAACAGAGGGCCTTTCAAGAGTCATCATCCCATCCCACGTGCGCAATGCGCCATTTGACCCGTTTGGCCGCGCAGTGGAACATTTCTTTAGATGTACTCAGCCGCTCGACGGGGTGTCTGGGGAGGTCCCCTGGGTGAAAAAACTCAGCGCACGCGTCGCGAATGACAGGATGCTTCGCAATCCACGGGGCGATCGTCACGCACTGCTGCTCTGACGCGGGCTGGACGGAGAGGGTCAGGGAGGCGGGGGCGTGGTCCGAGGGCGCGAAAGTTTCGTGACAGGCCAGCGAGTGGAAGAAACGGGCTAGTAGTCCATGAGGGACAGCGGTCGGGACGTTCGTATAGATGCGATCGAGACAAGCGGAGTTCGGATTAGAGTCTGGTCTGCGTGGGCACGATGTGTCGCGTGTGGTCGAAGTACTTCACCATCGATGAGGAAGGCCTGGTCGGCTAATAGCCGCAGAGGGTCTTGAATATTGCACCCCTCCCCCCAAACAAAAATCTCGGCTGGCAATACTCGCCCTCCCTCTCCTCGTCCCTCCCCTCCTCGCCCTCCTCCTCTCTCTCCCTCCTCGCCCTCCTCCTCGTGCTCCCCTCCTCGCCCTCCCCCTCCTCGCCCTCCTCCGCGCCAGAACACCTGCCTGGTCGCGGCCAGACTGCGGGGATGTCACAGGCGAAGGGCCCCGCTTGGCTTCACCGGCTTCTCTCCTTTCAGGCCACATGGCCATCGCGATGTAGGAGGCATGCATTCGTGTGGGCACTCTAATGGGAGGCTGCCAGGGGACAGGACACTTGCTGGTTGGAGCCAACGTTGCTGGAACGTCTTAAGCGAAACGCCCCCATTTGGCTTCACGAGCTGTTCTCCTGTCAGAGCCCCACCATTGCCGTGTAGCAGGCATCATATTTGGGCACCCCCAGAGGAGCCGCCAAGGGGTAGGCAACTTGCCCGTGCGCGGCCAGACTGTGGGGGGCGTCTCAAGCGAAACACCCCTTGTAGCTTCACCGGCTCCTCTCCTGCCAGAACACCGTGACCACCGCGATGCAGCAGGCAGAATGCTTGGGCAGCCGAGGGGAGCCGCCAGGGGGTGTCACGCCTGCCCGTGCGCAGCCAGGTTGTGGGGGACGTGTCAAGCGAAAACACTGGTTT